ATAAAATGTTGGAAATAGACATAAGGAAGCAATTTTTTTTTTATTTTAAAAATGGATTAAAAAAAAAATGATTTGAAGGGCATCTCTCTTTCGAGACTTTGCCCTGTTGTGTAATCTATTTTCTTAAATTTCAAAAAAATAAAATAAAATGGATCAAATTCCCTTTGATTATTTGCTATTGTGTATCTTCAAAAGTGATGTGGAATAAAAAAACATGATTCGTACTAAAAAAAAAAAAAAACATGATTCGATTCAAACAGATGAGTCAAAAGTTATTTTGTTTAAAGTTTAAGGATACCACACTACATCTTTTGTTCTTTCTTTCTTCATATAAAATATATTGGTGGCAATGTACCAACATTAAATATCAAGATAATTATTCCATGCATTATTTCTATTTCACCTATTTCTCTAGTGACTAGATGATCTCTAAAGTCTGCGAGTTGTGTACGATGAGGGTGTTGAGATGATAATGGGTAGTTGAATTGATTGGTGTTAGATTATGTCAAATGGCATTATCGTGTGAGTTGTACATTGATTTAGGCCCAATAAAAGGCCAGTTGCATACCAAAATAAGCGCATTATGGGACTATCTCATCTATTTCTCATGTGTACAGGATCCGATCTTTCGTCTTTTCTCCTTATAGCTTCACACGGGACTTATATTTTTATCTATATATAAGATAATTTTACTTCATATAATATGAGATGGTGGTGCATTGTTTATCTGACGTGGATTAGATCTAAACTTAAAGCACTGAAAACAAGTATACTGAACAGAAACAAAAAATTATATAATTTATTATTATTTTCTTGCAAATAATTAAAATTAATGTTATATATTGGGTAATTTGTTCAAAACACAGAAAATGACATGCACGCCTGCACGGTCATTAAGTGCATAATTTATGTGATCCATGCTTGCAATCTGAGCCAAATTGTGAAACCAATAGAATAGAGCCATTTGCTTCACTGTTTTCTTATGCAGTGTTAAGAGGAGAAACTATAAGCTGCTTTGAAAATAATAATATTTTTAATGACCACTGCTTAGTATTCTATATTTATGCTATGACATTATACCATTATATGTAAGTAATATGATAAATGCTTAATTGAAGGAATAAACAAATGTTATATCACCTTTTTATATGGTGAGCAGAAGTCACTGAAAGAAGTAAGTAGACTGTATAATATTCATTCGCAATGGCGATTATTATAGGCATTAATAGCTGAAGTTTTTGAATTCACTCTATCACTTATAAATTTTGTCTGACATGGTTAGCGGCTGGCTCTTATTAGGATAATAGTTAGAATGCCATTTTCTATTGTTTTTAATTTTTTTTGACAGTTTTGGGTAGTCCGTGAAATACTGCTTTAACCCGAATATTGGTTTATTATATGGGAAATGCTTTTCGGCGTTTGATGGAAAAATGAACAGTTTTCGTGCTGCCATTGATATACGTGTTAATTTTTTTTTTTTAAAAGCTGTGGGCCATTTTTCTTTTTTGCTGGAATTTGTTTTTTCTTTTTATGCTGCGTAAGAAAATATAAATCCTTAATATATATATATATATATATATATAGAGGCAGGTTACGTTTACAACTTTTTTGTTTATAACTCCTACAACCTCAACTATGTTCTCTCGGGAGAACATAGTTGGGGTTGTAAGAATTATAAACAAAAAAAGTTGTAAACGTAACCCCCCTCTCTCTCTCTCTCTCTCTCTCTCTCTCTCTCTCTCTCTCTATATATATATATATATATATATATATATATATATATATATATATATAGGATCCTTTGACATCGGTGTTAAATTTGAAATTTGACACCTCATCTGATAGCCTTTAGATCAAAAAAGATCAATGGTATCACATGCTTACGAATCACAGTCATTGATCTTTTTTGATCTAACGGCTCTTAGATGAGGTGTCAAACTTCAAAGGGCAAATTACACAAAATCACCCTCAACTTGTGTGATTTTTCAAAAAACCACCTTCAACTCTCAATTGAAAAAATTAACCTCCTTTCACTATACCATTTAAATAATTAAACATATTTAATAATTTAAAGATAAAAATATCCTTATCTTCAAGGTCACCGCGGTCTTCTGCCATGTCGCCGATTGGACAAAGGAAATGACTTTTTCGATTTTCGATTCATTGATTATTCATAATTTGCTATTTTTATTTGCAAAGGGTGTTGTGGCCATGACAGCCCCTACTGTCCTATGAATTAACGACTTTTTTGTCACCATATATTGGAATAATAAAAATAAAATAAAAAAATATTATGCTCTAATAAAAAATTGTTAATATGTAATCACGTATCCTTGTAATAGAAAAAGAAAGAAAATGGAAAATTATAAAACAAAATTGATGATTAGGATTTGTTTGGACACAAAAATAGAGATTGCGGCATGAAAAATTAATGGAAAAAATGATTTTTGGCATTGATCCCCGCTACATAAATGTACAAAAGTTTTATCTTCAAGAAAAATCAAGAAAACATTTTTTAATTTATTTGATTTGATTATTGATCAACATTGATGGGTGGATTTATATAAAACGAATTCAAAATATTGCCCATGATAATATCGATGATCTGCAGTGGCTAGAGGCAGGTAGATAATAATGGCAGTAATAAATTGGGGTGAGGGATAAAATAGTCATAAATTTGTTGAATATGTTTAATTGCTTCGATGTTATACTATAACTGGCTAATTGTTTGAATCAAAAGTATAAGGTGGTATTTTGAAAAAGCACTTAAGTTGGAGGTGGTTATGTGTAATTTGCCCAACTTCAAATTTGACACCGGTGTCAAAGTATCTTGCCTCATATATATATATATATATATATATATATATATATATATATATATATATATATATATATATATATATAATGAACTTAATTATTTTTAAGGTGAGTTGGCTCTTAGATAGTCCCATAAACTTCAATTTTTTGAGTTGATTATAAGACTAATTCTAAATTGAAACTTAATCACATTTAAGGTTTTTTTGTCCATCCCAAAGATAATTGTTTATTGTATTCTTTGATTACGAGTTTATACTTTATATTGACAAAGAAGAAATTATAGTTGGAAAACGTTACCAATGGATGGAGTTTTTTTTTTGTTGTTGTTGGTTATCAGTGTTTTATTTCTTGATCTCTCCCACTCACGATTTCAACAATAGCTAGCCTAATTAAATTAAATAGACTAAAAAATATTATACAAAAGGTGGACTTGGGTTAAGATCTTCTGGCCCTTTGGATGGAGAGTGACCATGAAAGATTGAAAACGAGATCCCGATAGTTCATTCAAGTAATGCTAATTAACAATTTCCAAAATGTAATGCTAATTAACACATTCAAATCTTTTAGGATAAATTAAACTTGGAATCCTTGAAGTTTCGTGATTAGCTAATATTATATATATATATACCGTGTACAATGCATATTAATTTACACATTCAAATCCTTTAGGATATGTTATACTTGGTGATTAGCTAATATTATATAAACCATGCAAAACGCACATTAATTTTAACAGGACTTTCTCATTGACGTGAATATAATGTCCTTAAAGTCAACGTGAAATAATTTATTCCTTTCACATTAGCTAATAAAAGATATACCAAGTGCCATATGAGTTTTAAAAAGACTTTTCAATTTAAGTGAGTTGGGGAAGTGTAGACGTCATTGGTTTACTGTCAGGAGTTGGGGAAGTGTGTGAGCATGTAGTTTTCGACAGGAAGACAAAGATGATCGTGTTAGAACTCGACAATCTCAGGTATATAGGAAGTATAACGAGAAAAAAAATCATATATTTTTTTGCTATCTAACTTCTGACGTATGGGACACTGATTGTACATAATAATAAATATGCACATGTATTATTCTTATGATATATATTACGTATAAGGAAAAAAATGCTGTGTTAAATACCTTCTCTTTTACGCGTGTGTTTGATTTTTTTTTTCTATTACATGAACTTCTGTTGCATAAAGTTTGTCTGTTATTTTTTTTTCTCTTTTCCATGCGAACATGGGGACATAAATGTACAGCTGTAGTTTTGAAAAAAATATATAATAAATACATATATTTCTTCATATCCAAACTTTGATTCACTGTTTTCTGTTTGTTGATTTGTAGAAAATCGGTCTCCGTTCACCGACACCCAAGGCAGCAGGTATTTTTTATTTGGCTCTGATTTCATCTCTGTTACGTTATCCAAGTTAATTTCAAACCCTTTTTAGTGCGATGTGTTGTTGTTTCTGATTGTTGCTTTTTATAACATGTAGAATTTCAGACGTCATCAATGTACAACATCAATTGAGATGCAACAGACAACAACTCCGTAATGTTACTAACGGTAAATTACTGGTTTCGAAGAGGAAGTATAACAAGAAAAAAAATCATATATTTTTTTGCCATATAATTTCTGACGTATGGGACACTGATTGTACATAATAATAGATATGGACATGTATTATTCTTATGATATATATTGCTTTTGAAGAGGAAGTATAAGGAAAAAAAGTGCTGTGTTAAATACCTTCTCTTATACGCGTGTGTTTGATTTTTTTTTCTATTACATGAACTTCTGTTGCAGAAAGTTTGTCTGTTATTTTTTTTCTCTTTTCCATCCGAACATGGGGACATAAACGTACAACTGTAGTTTTGAAAAAAAATATAATAAATACAGCTGTAGTTTTAAAAATAATTCAGTGTTTGTCAAAATAGAAAACATTATCCTTTAAGTGTTCCTTCATCGAATGTTGATGATTGTCTTATTACTCCTCCCACTCAAGGAAAGATATTAGCTAAAAAAAATGTCATGTGCTTCACATTATCGATTGCTTCTAAAGTCATTTCATTTACAACCTCTTTTTATTTTTATCTTTCTAGATACCAAAAGTGCTAGAATAAGGCGAAAAAGCTTACTGGCTCAAAAAAAGAATTCTAAGCAGTTTATTAATATAGACGATATACCGAGAATGGAAGACTTAACAGGTAATTGTTAATGGAAGATAATGTCATGTGTTACTTATTGTTTATTAATTTTATTGGTGGTATATTAATTACTCAACTTTATAAATTATCATTATAGGAATAGATGTTAATGATGCTGTGTTCATGCGTTCAACTATTAGTACGTTATCTAATTCTAACTCCATGTCACGGTATGATCATAATAAATTTTTTTATTACTAACTGTATACTGTCACTACTTTCGTGAAGCCATATAACTGAATTAACACTGTCTCAATTTTCTGTTGTTGCAAAGGTTACAATATTCTATTCCAGTTGATTCCTATGGAAGTAGTTCTTCAACTCATGCCTTCCAACAGAGTGAGATAAAAAAAACCCTATTCATTATGTATTTACAAAAAAATATTTCATATGCTGTGCGTGCTCATATTATCACATTTTTTGTGTGATGATTTTATTACGAAATTGCAGATTGTAATTAAATTCTCCTTACAACAAGAAAAAATATTAAAGATGTTCGTAATAAAATGAGGTCTGATATCTTCATGTCTTTTTTTTTTCTTTATGTTACAGGTACTGATATGAATAAATCCATTGTGCCAAACATTACTTCTAACAGTGAAGGTATTTGCATGAATTTAAATTTTGTTCATTTTCTGTATCGAATAAAAATTGTGCATCTTTCGTGTTTTTTTTTTTATCGTTTTTTGTATGTATTAAGATTATTGGGAAGCAGGAGATCCTACTTTTGTTTGCGAGAAATGTGGAGCACATATGTGGTACGAGGAGAGGAATCAAAAAGATCGTAAACCCATCACACCAGAGTTTAGTTTGTGCTGCGTAAATGGAAAAGTGAAACTTCCTTTGTTAAAACTTCCTCCTGATGCGTTGCTTAAATTGCATGATAATTCAAATGTCAAGAGCCGCCACTTTTTACGGAATATTCGAGCATACAATATGATATTTTCCTTCACCTCCTTTGGAGCAAAAGTGGACGAATCAGTGAATCAAGGTTCTGGCCCTTATTATTTTAGAGTTGGGGGACGAGTGCATCATTTAATAGGCAACCTCATTCAAGCTGACAACCATACTCCAAAATTTGCTCAGCTATATATATATGATACTGACAATGAAGTGGACAACAGATTGGGTTGTTTAAGGCATGTTGTTGTTTTCTAATCTATTGTCATCTATCAATTACGGTGTATGTTTTGTTATTCATTTTTTACTTATTTTTATGAAATCATTCTTGCAGTAATGTAAATAGTGAAGATATGCTTGATCTTGATATTGTCCGATCATTGAAGGAAATGTTAGATGAACACAACAGTATTGCTCAATCTTTTAGGTATGCTAAAGATCGATATAGGGAAGATGACTTCAGTAGAGTGAAGTTGAGGCTGATTCAAAAGCGTGGCAGTGATGGTAGAGTTTATAATCTTCCCTCTGCATCAGAGGTTGCTGCTCTAATTGTCGGGGATATAGACAGCGCATTGGGTGATAGGGATATTGTTGTTGAGACACAAGGTAGAGTTTTGCAGCGTATAGATGTCAAGCATCCATTGTATCTTGGTTTGCAGTATCCTTTGTTATTTCCTTATGGTGAAGATGGTTATCGTGATGATGTCGAGCGATCTTATATATCCCGAGGTAGGACGAATCCAAGATCCACTGTTAGCATGCGAGAATTCTTTTCGTTCAGGATTCAAATAATATCAGGAGAGTCCCAAATTCTCCATCACTCAAGGAAGCTTTTTCAGCAATTTTTGGTTGATGCTTACACTATGTTTGAGTCTGATAGGCTGAATTTTATTCGATATAACCAGAGTCATCTCAGGGCAGAGTTATACAAAAATATAAAAAATGCATTTGACAGGGGTGAAGATGAAGCTATAAATACTGGAAAGCGTATAATTATTCCATCTTCGTTCACAGGCGGACCTAGATATATGGCTGAGAATTGTAAAGATGCCTTTGCAATTTGCCGTTGGGCTGAATATCCTCATCTGTTTATAACGATCACCTGCAATCCTAAGTGTCCAGAGATTACCAGATTTCTTAAGGCAAGAAACCTTAACACTGAAGATCGTCCTGATATTCTTTGCAGAGTATTCAAGTTCAAATTGGACCAATTGCTACATGATTTAAAAAATGGTCATTTTCTTGGCACAGTTAATGCACGTAAGTTTATTGTTGACTTTATTTTTTTCGAGTTTGATGACATGAGTTACACGTTGATATATAGAAGATAATTGGACAAACCTTATCACAAATTTATGTATCCTACAAAAAAAATTAAAAAAAAAATAAATTGTCTATGACCAATTTGTTGATTTTAACTAACTCTATTTGTTTGTTCCAATGTAACAGGTGTTTGTACAGTTGAATTTCAGAAACGTGGACTGGCTCATGCTCATATTCTACTTTTTTTGCATCCCTTCGCAAAGCCTAATACTGGACTAAAAATTGATAATTTGATTTCAGCTGAAATTCCTAACAAAGATTCCAATCCTTCACTTTTTGCAGCTGTCACGAGTTACATGATGCATGGACCATGTGGTCCTGACAATTACAAGTCTCCTTGCATGAAGAACAGACATTGTTCAAAGAAATTTCCCAAGAAGTTCTGCTCCCGTACTTTTATTGATGATGATGGATTCCCTCATTATAAAAGAAGAAATAATGGGAGTGTTGTAAAAAAAAGTGGCGTCGAACTTGATAACTGTTATGTTGTGCCGTATAATGCAAAGCTTCTTTTAAAATATCAAGCGCATATCAACGTTGAATATACTTGTCAGAGTAATGCCATTAAATATCCTTTTAAATACATACATAAAGGGCAAGACAGGGTGACAACTGCTATAAATCATTCAGATGATGAAATCAAAATGTTTTATGATTGCAGGTTGTTGAATTCATCTCGGTTATATTTTCCTTTCGTTACTTGGAATAACCTTTTTCAAGCTTATTTTGACTTTATTGCTTATATATGATAGGTATGTATCCGCGTGTGAAGCTGCTTGGAGAATATTTAGATTTGAAATTCATTACAGATTCTCACCTGTTCAGAGATTGCCGTTTCACCTACCCAATGAAAAGACCGTTGTTTTTAGTGATCATGCTTCAATATGTCATGTCAAGACTATGGCAGAAACTAGACAATCAATTTTCGAGTCTTGGATGGATGGAAATAAAAAATATCCAGAAGGTAGGCATCTCACTTATGCAGAGTATCCAACTCAATTTGTTTATAAA